CTGAGAGAGTGATCCAAGATGCCAATGCCAGAATTGATTAACAAAGACCCAGAATTTTTCTATGTTAAAATGTGTAAAAGTCATTATACATGTAATTGTACATTATATAAGATCATTGCATGAGAAAAGTATGTTTTGTACATTCATATAAATTTAGGCAAGAATTGAAAAACTATTCTAATGTGAAACAAAAATAGAGAAGTGTCATGGTTTTAGGTCTTTGTTGAAAGTGTGTTGGGGATACCAGGCAGATGAAGTCTAATGACCAAAGGGTAAGGCATAAGTTTAGTTCAGTTATTAAAATTAAATAATTGATTTTCCAGATATTTTAGGTTGATATACTGTTCATAATTTGGTTTAGAGACATAAAAAGAGATAAACTAGGGTAAATGCAAATATCTGCCTGCAGTTACACCCTTCATGCACCAGGGGAGCGCAAGGGAGCACAGTCTATCCCCCCCCCCTGCCTCCTGGCCCTCCCACATCCTGCCCCCATCCCCCCTCCTCACTGCCCCACCCTGCCATCTGGTGCTTTTCACACACACACACATACACAGTCAGGATTCTTTTCTCCTCATTTCCTTTCACAGTGGAAAAACAGGATGAAGGCTCTCTTTCAGACCCAAAGTTACCGTGGAAACCCCCTTATTCTTCTTCTGTCCAACACACTCGCATTGTAACACACGCACACACTTATATAGAAAGTGACAGAATGTTGGAGATTTAAAGTTTAAAGGGACCAGGACTACAGCTGTCCTTCTGCCTGCCATAGTTTTGGCCTTCTGTTTGCTCTGGACAAAGAGCTGTATGCCCCCTCTTATACTGTTTATTCCTTGTCTCGTTTCCAAAGAACTAATACTTTTCTCCAAGTTAACTTTCTAAGTCTCTTTATTGGTGATAAAAGTTGGCAAAAGCTGTGTTTGTGTCTATGTAGTCCTCTCTCTTGAGCAACCTCAGCAACTTTTCTCAATAACTGCTCACCCCACAGATATTGATGTTGAAACTATAAACCTGCTCTGTTCCAGTAATCTCCACTCTTGGAATGCTGACTGGAAAAAAGTTTGTTTAAAGTTGTATAAAGTTATTGTTATGGTTTTCTCCTGTCTTGCCACCAGAGGGCCCATGAAAAACGCACATGGTGCCACAGATATACAATAGAGCAAATCATCTGAAAGCTTTTAGTGGGTTAAAAATAAACAGCGGTGCTCCACAAGGAGGGAGTGGTGATGAGTGGATGAATGGGCTGCATGAAAAGACTAAAACTAAGAGAAGAGGCTTCTGAGAGAGGACCGAAACTAGCATTTGAGGTTGTAGTTCAGAGTGGTCAGGGATAAGTGTTACCGTACCAGCAGTTTCTTTTTTGTTTTGTTTTGTTGTGCTCTTTGTTTTCTAACTATCTTGTTCTTTTTTTTTTTTCTTTGTTTCCATGTCTCCCCCTCTTCTCCAAGCCTGGCTACCCATCACCTCCCCCTTTTTT